TGCAATGTATATGTACACAGTACATATAGGCGTTCTGCCGATGATGTCATCAAATCAGTCTGGGAGCCCTAACGGCCCAAAGGGGATTTCTTTTGAGCGGGGAAATGCAGGATCGTTTTATTCATTTTGGGGTCGCGATTAAAGTGGGTGCTTTCTAAAATAGGATGCGTTCTCAATTCGAGTGAAATGCATGTAGGGAAATTTCATTCGCATTTCAAAAACATGTTACGTCTATGAAACGTATTTGATATTTCAAAATACGCCCTGTTGTAAATTACATCAGTACGGAGCCCCTGAGGGGACTGGCACAATGAGATATTTTTTTATTTTGTTCCCTCAAATTATTGTTTCGTTCCCTCAAAATCATTTCATTCCCTCGAAATAAGATATTCCGTTCCCTTGAAATACTATTACGTTCCCTCAAATTAATATTTTGTTCCCTGAAAATGTTGAGTTTGTTCCTTTGATATATTGATTTCATTCCCTCAAAATATTTTTCTGTGCTTGGCACCATTGTCGTACACTCGTTGGACAGGAGAACGCTTCCCGATTGAAGTTTTCACCAATTCCCTTGGAGTTATTTCAATCTGGAAGCGTTTTCCTGACCCACGAGTGTACCACAATGGTGCCAAGCACAGAAAAGAATTTGGAGGGAATGAAATCATTATATCAAAGGAACAAACTCAACATTTTCAGGGAACAAAATATTAATTTGAGGGAATGTAATAGTATTTCAAGGGAACGGAATATCTTATTTCGAGGGAATGAAATGATTTTGAGGGAACGAAATTAAAAAAAAAAGTCTCATTGTGCCTGTCCCCTTAGGGGTTTCGTACATCAGATCTGGAAATTAGTTTGATTTTTAAGAAAAGGTGTTAAGTTTCTTCACAAATGTGTTCCAATGTTTTTGACATTAATTCTACTACATAGTTGGCGGCTGTTGGTAAAAAATAACCAAAAAACCAAGTATGTCATCATAGTTACTTGATGTGAATATAGCAGAGATCAACGTCTTTCGATGAGTTCTAAGGCACTTTATTGTGGTTTATTTGCCTGGTAATCTGTCATTTGAAATCTAATGTTTTGAGCACTTGTGTAGTACTAGCCATGGTCTGGCAACACAACTGTATGCTGCATAAAGTGAATGCAATCCAATTCTGCTGACTGGAGAGTCTGACTCCGTACAAATTTATCACTGTGTTAAGTCAAGGCTATTTTCCAATACTCGACTTGGGCTCCGTCTCAGGCTTCAACTGTTTTTTTTTACTTCCTGACTTTGAAGTTATAAGCGCAATAGTAAGTCTGATAGTGCCACAGAACATCAAGTAAAAAAAGATGCAAAAGAGCCAAACATTACAGTACTTTAATTAAAGTTAAACTCTTCAGGCCCACAATCAGGGATTGGTTTCGGAGACGAAGTTGAGTATTGGAAAACGGCCCATGTTTCTTGGTAAAAGGAGACTAGTCCAGTTGTATCGGCGGCCATTTTGCCATCACCTCTACATGTTTATCGCGATGCAGCCAGTCGCAATATGCACTCAACAGATCTGCAGGAGTGACAATAGTGAATGAACAGATTGTCATATCTTAGCAAGTTGCCTCACTACGAATAAGTATAGCAAATAAAAATTGCTTCCGTTTTCATTAAAGGAGAAGCTCTTTTAATACTGTAAAAGTACATGATCCTTTGTTTACATGTGAAGAATTCTGTATTGAGCAGAGCGTGAGATCAATGTTGTCGAGTCCATCACAACTCATCCGGTCTAAAGCCAAGTCAGAAACTGTTCAAAGTCAAATGTGGCAAAAGTATTCCTTTATCGTTCACTTGAATACTTATCTGGTCTTGTAAAAGGGCTTGTGAAGAACTCGACTGTAACACTGATTAGTACACAGGTGTATTCTTTACAGAAAACGATCGCATCTTATCGCATCTTGTCTAACAAAAGATGAGCCTTATGGAATAAGAATCTCAGGGATTGTAACGAGATGTCAGCTTTACTCACACTTGTCATGTCGCCTCCACGCCTCAATCAAAGCCTCTTTACAGTCCACACCCTCGGCAACCAGTGTCTTGAGGAGGATCTCTGTGCGAGGCTGTAACCTGAAGAGATAACACATACGCACACTCAGGCTTGAGAGGCATTATGGGTGGCGTTGGGGAAAGCATGGGGAATTAGATTTTTCTTAAGCAGTAGACGGATCGTGCTTGCTAAATCACGTGACCTACAGTGGGTATCAACCCCATTGCAACGTGTGTTTTGAGTGTTGTTTATGAAAAAAACAGCAAAGTCGTGGTATAGTACCCAGCACATCAGTAGTCAAAGTTTGGTACCTACCGACAGCTTTATCTTTGGTAAATGATAGTTTGATAAATGAAACACATTGCGTTTGGTGGACGCAGTGTTTGTTGATATGTAATACCCACTATAGGTCATGTGACTGTATATCACACGAGCCAATGCAATCAGTCTATAACTTGGCTATGGCTAGCAAGAATACACAAGTCTATGAGAAGTAGTTTAAGCAGTCAGATAGTAACTTCCACTGACAAACATGTTAAACTGAACCATAGCTGGATGTGGCTTCACTCTCAAAGACAAGCGAATGAAATACCGCAAGTCATCCCGAGATAGCACTGTGTACCGACATTCAAATCAGAGAACAACTTGTAAAACTCTCAACTTACTTGGCCCAGGTTTTGATCATGGTGCTTGGCGAGGACAGGAGGAACGAGGTGTTGTCCTTCAACCCAGGAATCACCTGTAACACATGCAGAAATTTAGCGCCATGAAAAATTCCATCTAACAGCACACTACATGGTATAAAGACACTGACGTATTAAATCTTGATGCGCTGGACTAAGTACATGTTCATGCATATCTAATGCTGCCAGTGTCCAATGATGGCTATGCGAAAATTTGACCTTCTAAGAGTAAGCCTTTTGTGAGTTAAATTTGGATACAATCTGGTACACTGAGTTATCTGATTGCACATAAACATAACGATTTGAATTCCCCAGACTAAAGACACTGTTGCTAAGTACGTGTATACCTCGTGATTTGGGGGAAGCTTTTGCATAGCGACCACCATAAGATGAAACTAAATCCTGCGAAATCTGTTACAATGGATATTTCCTTTATGGGAAATCCCCAAACCGACCAGACATGGTTATCGGTGATAATAATCTGGCCACTGTTAGTGTTGCGAAATGAGAAACGTGTGATATTGAGAACCATGCCAATGGCAAACTATACATGCCACGTCTTTTGAGGAGTCGATATAAACGAAGTGAGGATTTGTTAACTGTATATGTAGGGTATAAATAGGCCTCTCACCGAATATGCGGCACCAGTCTGGAGTGGAACCCCGACTCAAAATCAACTTGAACACATTGAGAGGATTCAGAAACGTGCATTTGGGATTTGGATCCTCGTACACAACATATGATGAAATACTTTCCCGCTGTTGGCTCCAATCTTTAAATAAAACTGATCAGTTCCCAGATTTCCTCCCTCCTAACACCGTTGTCAGGACCCTCAGACACAAAGCTAAAATTCCTGAATTCTACTGTAGCACCTTGCCATCCATGTACCTTGTCCACTGTTTAAATGTGTGTTGATCGTGAACAATAGGATTCCTTTTGTTACCGTTGCATTTTAATGTCACATCTCGTTATTTTTTCCGTCATTTGAATTATTTCCTTTTTTCTTTTAATTCCCTTTGTAAATCCCTTTTTATGCAAGTAAATTTATAAATACTTTTATTGAGATGGCCTTTTTATTCATTTTTAACAATACAGGTTTATGTTTTCTTTATCTTTTTACACCGTCTTGATGCTGTACATTCACCGACAATTTGGCCTTGGGTCGCTAAACGTGGCTATTTTAATAAACCATCATTGATTGATCTGTGAAATGGACTGGTTCCTTTGTGCCCTTCTTTCCCATTGAGAACAGTGTATTGTTGCAAGGCGTCTCTTATGGAACTAAGCAAAAGCTTGCCCCGAATCACAAGGTACAGCAACCGTGTCTTTAGTACGGAGAAATCAAATGGCAGCTATGCAAACCCTCCATTCAAGGCTCTGCCCTTGACAGAGACTGAGATGGACAGTTCATGCTGACCTTTCCTTCCAAGAGGAACCTGGCAAACCACTTGAATCTCTCCACACTCTTGGGGTATTCCAGCTCCACGGCAGGCACCTGCCAAGTATTGCGACCTGAAGAAGAGGGAAGTGAAGAGGGTCAGTTATTGTAAATAAACAATCCAATGAGGCGCTACTCATCAACAGTGAAAGAACAGAGTCCTGAATGGCTCAACATCTTTCCACAAGCTCACAATTGCATTCTTCTGCAAAGGTTTCTGTGAGTTAAGACCCACCAGAACTATTTTTGGTGCTGAATTTTCATATTGAATCAGGAATTCAAAAAACCAGTCTTCCCTGATGAAAAATGCGGACGAGTCCACACAAGGTTTTCATTTTGTGGTGTCTAATTTTACTCTGGGTTAATTTTTATCCAACAACAAAACCACAGGTTTGGAATTAAGACTTTTGAATCCGGAGAGAGAAAAATTCCTTTTCAAAAAATGATCAGTGGCAGTGATCCACATCGACATGCAGAGGATTTGTGACAACAAAAAAGGCCAGCCTCCTCCATCCAAACACCTTCGTCTACACAGACACCAGCGGAGGTTCTCAACCTACCAAAGGTACTGGTCATGTGACAGTGAACCGTTCCTGTCTCTTCGTTGTAGGATGGTGCTGGCTGCTCCATTGGCTTGGAGAAGGTGCAGAGATGAGGTAGGACGACCGGTAACCATTCGGGCTCGATAGCCACCACACCTGGACAAGGTCACAGAAAAAAGGGAGGATAAAGTCTCGTAGGCTGCATCTGGATCTGCCGGCTAGAGCTAGGTCTAGGTCCTCATCCCATTGGAAATACGCGGAGATAGACCTAGCCGTAGCTCTGGAAGCCTGTTTCGGACATGGCCGTAGTCTTCTGGAGCTAGTGGCTGGGAATGATCCAGTGTTGCAGTCAAATGATCTCCGAGTACCAAGTTTACTGTCAAATACTGAACTGTTTAAGTGTGAACAAAGCTGGCAAACTCGGACATTGGATGGTAACTTCACAAAGGTAATATTCAAAAATAAATTGATGACTTAAAATTAATCTCAATGTAAACATTTGCTTTCAAGGACAAAAATACATGCTGTGTTGTTTCTATTAATCTTCATTTTTACTAAGCTGCACAACTCACAGCAGACCAACTGCAGACAAACTGAATTAACCACTTGCTGCAGGGTGTAATTTGAAGTTGCCTGACGTAAAACAGGGAGATTTGTAAGAATTTCTGTTTTCAACATTCTTCAAAAAAATCATAACTTCATTTACTGGACGTTTACACCCACATGAAAGACTGTCTGGTGGCTACTTTAACCTGACAGGCAACATCTATTGATGCCCGAATATTTCAGTCAGGCCTAGCCCAGGAAGTGGTTAAGCAAAGACACCAGCGGTTCCCACCTCTCATATAGGGTCTCGACGTCTCAATGACCTCCTGATACACAACAAACTCTGGCTGCTTCTTGGCCAGTACCGAGTCGGGGTGAATGTAGACAGCGCCCTCTATGCCCACACTCTGATAGGCATTCTTCTCTTTCTGCTCCTCGGTTTCTGGCATTTTCCTATTAAAGAAAAAGACAGGTGCATTTTGTTAAAAATTCTCTCAGTAACTTCAGAAATCAAGAAGCTCAGTACAGGTATTCATAATATATGGGTAATTCCAGAAATTAGGGGTCCAAAAGTGTGACATTTTGGTGTCCCTGTTACACCTGACCTGTGTTATTTGACATGGAAATATCACCCGAATTGATTTCAAACTATTTGTATTTCTTTGGCAGGTAAACTTGCATTAATTCATCACTCTTGGAAATTAGAAAATGTGTTCTGAACTTACAAAAATCACATGTCAGATTCGACAGGGACACAAAAAAATGGACCCCTAATTCATAGAATGACCCACGTGAATGTAATGGATACAAATGTGACCAAATCTCACAAAATGATTCTTTTAGTTTGCTCAAGAAAGAGCAAATTGATTTTTTGTTTTGATGCATCATCCATTTTGGCATCGTCATGAAAATGGACTGTACACGAGTGAAATACATTGAGGATTCTATTAATTACCACAGTACAAGAATCTCTGGTGACTTGTGGCTTTTTGGCTTAACCACTCCCTGCCAGGGATTCCGGATCCGGACATGTATGCTTTATAGGTGTGGCCGGGGTCTCCGAACTCGGACAAAGGGAACAGGGCCTTGTAACAAAGGCCGAACTCGGAACAAAAGAACAGGCTGCTGGGAATTACCAACATTTTTTCACTGTCAAAAGTGGAGATAATCCGGCCTTGTTTTGAAACAGTATACCACGGTTTGAGGCATTTAGAGCGAGCAGTTTACCACCGGGGACAAAAGCGCTCCACCACCGCAGCGATGAGCCACACAGCACCGCTGCACGCTAATCTGGCCCCTATTGAAAAGAGGTCAGCGGCATACTGAGCCAGATTCGTGAACAAACGAAAATTATATAACACAGCACAATCTGGGTTCTTTTTTGCAATGCTGAAGGCCTGGCTGAAATACTCAGGCGTCAATAGATTTTGTCTGTCAGGCTAGAATGGACACCAGACAGTCCTTCACATGCTTGTAAGTGTCCAGTAAATGAAGACAGGAATTTTTAAAGATTTTTGAAAACAGAAATAAATAATACATATCCCGGCCCAGCATCATCAACATTGATAACTGCCCCGGCAGGAAGTGGTTAATTGGTCTTGGGCCACACATGGAATTCCATAATTATTTCCACATACACAGCCAATGTGCAGTCCGTGATTTTGGGGGGTCCATCACCATTGGTCAAACTGATAAAAAGGGACTGCCCAATGTACTACATTAAAGTAATGGACCTTCTTTCTCACCTTGCTACATGATGAGGCATCCCGGCCAAGACAATCTGCCTGAGCAGTTTTACCTGCAAGCAATCATAACGCATCACTCAGCAATATACATATACAGTCTCAGCTATAGACAAACAAAATTGCCCCAGAATACTCCCCCATCTAGAGTGGGTCAAGTCTACTACTGCATACCAGATTACCAACACATGTGCATTTTTTCCTAGTCCATTACCGGTACTTGCAGTCGCTAAATTCTCGATCACCAGCAGTGTGCGCTCACTGGCTCGACTCCAGCAAAGGCGGCCGCCATGTTCTTCCTCTTTTTCGACATGGAAAGTGCGCCGAGGCCGCAAGGGAAGGGGGGAGGGAGATTGGTAATCTGGTAGGTATGCAGTAGTAGACTCAACCCACTCTAGGTGGGTGGGGGGAGAGTCTACTGCCTGTAACCTATGCAGATTACCAATACATATGCAAAGCAGCACCGAGGATGGTGGGAAGGCAAGCCCCCAGGAGTTGTCATATACAACCTGCAACCAACAAGGAAAGGTACTGTAGATTAGTAATATACCGCAAGGGGTAAGGGCCGGCGACCATTTAGACCCGGTTTGAAAAGGGCCCCCCGGTAAGCTCGCCCTGTTGCAAAAACCCCTTTCATACCGGCCTGGCTACCGGCCTGGGATGCTGGACTGGTTGTTGATCTCGAAGTTCTTCATCCTGGGGTCCATTGTTTACAAGTATTGGTACATGTAATCTATCCCAGAAGGAACCTGCTTGTGGTTTTTAATCCTTCAGCTCGATACAATGTTTACACTTATCCACTTAGACCCCTATTCATCTGTGGAAGCATGGTGGGGGAAGCCTTTCATCAGGGACTTTGAAATGCCAATGTGCAGACAGGCCTGATACCGGCCTGGAGTAGCCTGTATACCGGGCAGGCATTATACAGAGTGGGCTACCGGGGGGCCCTTTTCAAACCGGGTCTAATTGGTGGCCGGCCCTAAGGTGCAGATGAAGAAGATCCAGATGGAGATGGCGAGACTTGGGCTAAAACAGCAGGTCATGGCGCTGGGGCAGTAACAGGGGAATATCGACCAGAAGCCTCACAATATGGTGAACCAAGGCTGTCTCGGCCAGTATGGTGCGATGAGAAGAATTTGGCAACGTTTTCTTTCTATCTTTGACAGCACCCTTAGGAGCAGCGAAATGGGGGGAAATGGCATAAGCTAGGAGACCTTCCCAAGAGATGCACAGAGCATCAGTCGCCCATGCTTGAGGTTGCGGAAATTGGTTGCAAACCGTGGGGAGTTGAATGTTCAGATGTCTATGTGCAGCCTGTCAGTTGCTTGGAAGAGTCAGAAGAGGGCGGAATAGTCACCTACGCCGACCACACAGAAAGACCGCCAGGGGAAGGCAGGTGACACCACACTGGGCACTAGAGGAAGCAGGAGCCGAAGTGCTTGACTGTTCCCAGGTGGAATACAAAGGCCAATGAACATGTCTAGGAGTGCCTGTAGGATGATGCACCGGAGGAGTGGAGCATTGCAGAGGCCCTGGAGGAGCCGGATGAGAAACACGAGGACGAGAGTTGGCTGGCTGACGAAACAAGATCTTCCGAGAACTGTCGATCCACTTGACCTCACTTTTGAGAAGAGAGGTAAATTGGCCCGCAAAGATGTCTTTATCAAACAGGGGAAGACTCTTGAGGGTGGAATTAACTGACTCGTGGAAATATTCATAGCCAGATTAGACGATCCCCTACGGGAGGCCGTAGCACGAAGAGATACTCTGGCAAACTGCTCAAGCCCTGTAAGCAAGGAATCGTCCAGGCAGTGAAAAGCCATGGTTACAAACTCGGGAGAAATATCGGAGCCCTCCTCGCAAGCCCGGGACAAGAACTCGACAAGGAGGAGGAAAGACATGCAGCAAATGCCCAAGTGAGCAGCTAAATCAACATCCTTCAGAGCTAACTCCATTCATTGAAGATTCTTATCTTGAAAGACAAGGGTAGACTTGCCCCTGTTTGGAAAAATCTTCTCTCTGGTTGCATCACGGAAGTCTGGAACCGACAGATATTGATCAAAATCACCCGGGTGGAAGCCTGAAGTCTGCCGCTTGGCCTTGTCTGTCCATAGCATTTACACAAGAACGATCGAGGAGAAACTCTGGGAAGACAAGGTCTCTCCAAGTAAATGATGCTTGAACAAGGGATGCCCCTTGTTGTCAGGAGGTGATGGGGTAGGCAATCCTAAGACTTGTATCATTTCCCGCTGTAGAAGACGTAAGGAAGACTCCAACGGTTAAAGATCGTTCACCGAAAGGGGCTCATCCTCATTTGGAGACTGACCAGAACCCGAAATATACAAAGAAAGGCCAGGACCAGAAGCAAAACCCACAGTACGACTGTCATCCATCGTGGGTCGAGATGGCCCTGGAGGGTGAAAAATGCCCTGATGCTCAGCCGGAGAATCGCCAGAACAGGCTGGGGGAGGAGAGTCAAGTTTCGGATCTGGATACGCAGTAGTCAGAAGAGGAGGCGGCTATCACCGCACAAGGTCTAAAATGGACTCAGAAAGTGCACATAGCGTTTCTTTGCTCGAGGGGGAGCTAGAACCTTTCGAGATATGTTTCTTCTTCTGATGTGAAGAATGATATAAGGAAGATGAACCCCCACACAATTGCGTTTCTCCCCTGAGGAATTCCCCGATTCAGACTGATGGGAAGAAGGTTGGCCGGAAGGGGGATCGAGCTGCGTGTCCACAGGAAGTGGGTCAAAAATAACAGGCAGCCAAAAACACCGCAGGTGAAGCTGACCTTAAGGCTCGGGGGGCCCAGTGGTAGAAGGGGCTGAAGAGGCCACCGTGGAGTCCAACTCAGATACTGTAACAGATATCTAACCCT